TGTAAATACATGTATAGGATGCACTCATTCCCATCTGTTACCTTCATTAATAAACACACCTCACCCAGCACCCCTACATCCAACAAAGCTGCTTTGAGTGTGGCATGCACCCAACCAAGGCATAAGTGACCCAAATCTGATTTTCTTGCTCATGTGTGAGATCTGTTTTTTAATTATAGCTTGAACAGTTCAAATTACATGGAATTTGATCTTTTTAATTCTGAACACTTTCATATGTGGTTCAAATCAGATACAGGTCTGATTTTTTGCAGTGTGACCTCAGTGTGAACAGCCATGTCAGAATTCATGTGACTTTTTGTGTCACTCTAAATTGACATTTGTGTAGGTCACTTCAGGACCTGTTTACACTGGATTCTGATTTGGGCTACATTTAACAAATAATGTGAACTGCCAAACAAGAACAGAATCAGAACTGAGCACTAATGCTTGTCGTGTGAACATAGCCTTAATGTGTTCTCTGAGCACACATACATATATAAACAAACATTTAGATATACACTTATATTAATACAGATATCTACACCCATGTATTACATTTCTAAATTTCTAAGTCGATTTCTCGTCTTCTTAACCCCAAGCCCAGAGTTCACCCTTTTAAAGTGTTCTTGAGTATAAGACACATTTTCACATTGACTCCAAGGTTGTTGTTGTTGTTGTTGATCTGGCACTTTGTAAGCAGAAAGAAAAAGTTAAGTCTTATCTTATATTCTTAGAAAAAACCTACCTTCCCTTACCTACCTAAACTACCTGTCACTATTATGATGTTCAGCAGCTAATTGCTATCATTGTCTGTCTGCCCTTTGGTGCTGAGGCAGTGTACTGTGGGTTTATCAGAGCTTTTTTTTGTTAAAAACAAAGTTGATTAGAGTGAATCTAAACAGTCAAGCTTTAGGCTTGAAAACCAAAATAATAAGGGGGAACTGCAAAGACGGGTGATAATTCTCTGCCACGTCATTGACATTATACATCATCATTTGGTCCATTGTTTATATAGAAATATTGATTATTGCAACTTTAAAAAATGTCACACTATTTCATTTGATATACTGTTAAATATATCATTTAATCAATATACTGACAACTATATAACTACTGCTGTTACATTTTCCTCACATTTCACTGTTTGCTGTAATATATATATATATATATATATATAAATATATAATAGTCCTTGTTGTGCATGAGCAAATGACAAACGTTGACATCCGTTAATCATTTAATTCGGGAAACAATTAAAAATCTATTAAAAAAAACAATAAAAGAATGAGACTATTTGCCTTGTAGTGGCTTATAGGAGATGATGAGACATTAGGATCTAATCAGCCCAGATGCTCAACAGATTCGAGTGCTGCCACACACACACACACACACACACAAAGCCAGAGGCTCCAACTTCCCAAATGGTCCAGCGTGACCACACCCTTCACTTGCCTAATGTGTGGCACTGTGAGCCACAGCTGGCCTCCCTAGGTCATGCTACAGGGTGCTCTCATACACTCATGAAGAATTAATGAGGGCGTGTGTGTGTGTGTGTGTGTGTGTGTGTGCACATAAGCCTTTGTATTGGACATGAAGGTATAATATAACACAGTATTATAGTATTATTCTCCATACAGCATCATAAATAAAATGCACAGCAGGTCGCAGCATTAGAGATTTGCCATGATTTGACTTTTTAGCTCATTATAGCAGCACAGTTGCATAGATATGACAGACTGTAGGTTGAAAATATTATGTTGAACATAGCAATACCAAAAGAGTCCATATGGTTTTTAACATTATTAGTAAAAGCTTCAAAACGTGGTTTCAATCCCTGTACAAATGTCATTAAAAACACAGTTTGCTTAAGTGTGTAGGTGTTTGGTGAATACAAATAACAGATATGATTTTCTATTTGTATTCCTGGAAGCAGTACTCTGTAACTGTTGCAATAACCTGCTAACAGGAAGCTGTCTATTTTTAAAACAGCTAACTACTAACCCTGAGAAATGTAGTGTGCAGCAAAAGCACTTTGTGAGAAATGAAATTGACTGCAGCTAAACTATAATACATTGATGGGTGGACTCATTTGCATGGAAGCCAACTTTTGCCTGAGTACAAGAAAGACTACATGATGATACCTTTACTCTACTTTTTCTGTTCATTGCCTATGTTGCAACAGCAGTAAGTTGTACCAGGAGGTTATCCATAATCCTATGTGGGCACTTGAAATGTAAATGGAAAGGGTCAAGCTTGACTGCAAAAGTTACACTGAATTTTATATATATTATATAGTATATAAAAAATGCTTTTTATTCTCTGTCTCCAGATAGAGTTTAAAATTAAAGACCCTGTTGGATAAATGTCAAGAGCTAAATTCTTGGAGGATTAAGTCTTAGCATTCTAAGAGGTTCTGCAGTTTCTGACATTTTTCAGCTCAGATGATGCCTAATCTAATAATGGTGTGAGGACAACCAGTGTAGCTGGTGTCATTTGTTATTGAAGTTGTTGCCCCGGAGATTTATTGGATGATTATGTGTGTCCTCTCTCCTGTTTAATGTTATCAAATATACCAGAATCAACTCCTTAACATTAGAAGAGACCAGACAGATAGCTCTGCAAATTCATTCAACAATCGTCCGGAGAGAAATATTAAATCTGAAGTATGAACGCTACATTGACAACCAAACCCAACAATGTGAGTTAACTTGAGGGTGAACCAGTCAGTAATGTCTGACTTTTCAGCTGTCAATGTCTGAGTCACTGGAACATGAAGAAAACAGCACTGAGTCCTGACTTCGTTGTCTATCTGCTGTAATTGTGTTACTCTGTGAGGCCTAGACAGATATGAGTGTTGCACAGTCCCATGACTGCTCGACAGTGAAGTGAACCACATCAGCACAAAAACATGTCAGTGTGTTGCCAGTGGATCTAGTTTAGGTAAATAAAGAGAATGCCATCTGGTTGGAGAAAAAACATTTCACATAGTCTATTACAATGTTTTGATATTGTTTCCAAGCTAGAATTCACACACTCTCTTCCAGTTTCTTTCCCTTAGTTTCTTTTTTTTAGCCCTCCATAACATAAATTACCAAATTGAGGTCTGAGAATGCAAAAAAGGCAATAAAGGCAACATGAAAAAAACACTTGAGTTGCATATTTAAAAAGGTAACGCTAACATAGATCACATTTACATACATTTTGTGACATGTGAGGGTGTGGTGTTTTTCTCTTTCACTGACAGTGGAGTGATGAGGTGAGGAGTGGCCAAGTGGTGAGAGGGTTTGGGGCTATAAAAGAGTGTTTCGATGTGTGCTTGGCTACATGCCGACTGATTCACTTTAACTACTCCACGGCCTGCAGTCTGCTCCTGTGTGCACCTGAGGACAGAAGACGAGAAAAGGTAACTCCCAGTTTTGATCTTAACTGCAGCAATAAATAAAATGTTATGCAAGATTTTATATTTATATAGAGAAGAACCAAAATGTTTTCCAAGGCTAGACGTTTTCATAGTGCCAAGAAACGAGTGCAATACCAGTCTGGATTCTGGGCTAATGTCCTTCTGTAGAGTGAAAGGTGTGTACAGTTCAATGGTAGACTTAACATATTTTATCTAAATTTGAGAATAGAATGTATTTTCCTATGTAAGTATGTATCAACAGTTTGATCTTGCTGTTGTGTGATTGGTAATGTCAGCAAGACTATGGAAAAACCCTAATCTACAAACTGATAGATAAAATAATATTTAAAAATACGTAATTATAAATGTGGTTTAATCTTTTGCAAGAATATGTTTTTAAATTAATAATATTTTACAAGTAAAGAAAGTTTATCACATAAGAAATACAACTCAAACTTTCTTCTGAGTTTTATTTCTTAGGTATTAAACATTAAGAAGAAACATGAAATTGCAAGACTAGGCAGTTCAATAATGTTGTCAGAATAATTGAATTTGCAGTCACAAGAAAAGCTATATATTAGTGGTATGGGCTGGACACCAAAGAATCATTGTTGCTGCACATTCCTCTCTAAGTGCGCATAAGTCATTGATATAACCCTGAATCAATATGCCATTATGTTACTGCATGGCTCAGGATGTCTTCTATGGTCATCATTCAATTAGTACATTCCATGGCATCTAATAAGTTTTTGTCAACAATGTGTATCTATATGGAGACAGATAATCATCCAGTGTACCACTTGCTGATACTTTGACATCTTGAAAGCTGTAGAGTCCTCTGGTGGTCACCTAGAGAACTATCTTCTCTCTGCAGCTCACCCAACCTCTGCAGTGCATTCTCTGTGTATAGAAATAAATGTTTTAATAACATCTATTTCAGTTTTTGTTTGTGATCACAGACTAAGATATATTTTAGTTTTGTTCCGTTGTTAGTTTCTTGTCTCTGTTAAGTCTTCTCAGACTTACTAATAAAAAAAATTTGTAAAATAAATAAAAGTGATGTTGTTGTTGTTGCAGGAAGCATGGATGTAAGTAACTCATCACATTCTCAGATCGCTACACCGGTAAGAATAACATTATTGTAGCTGTTTTTCTCTACATTTTTCATCTAAATGTAAATGCTTACATTCCTGCTTATGTCATGTTTGCAACTGCAAGTTGGTGTCCTCCATCCTGTCCACCCTTTCTCTTCCCCGCATCTCCGTTCTGGCCCCTGACCCCTCTCTCTCTCCATCTCCACCGCCTCCCCCTCCCTCTCAGCATTCTGAAGCTCAGTGTGGCAGCTGCCCGTCCTCTGGTTCTGCCCCACAGACTAACAGCGTTTGGCCCAGTCTGCCGCCATCTGGAACTGGGTTCCCTGCATGGCCAGGACAGCCTAGCCAGCCTGCACCATGCTGGACTGGCCAGCCAAACACACCCTGCTGGTCTGGGACACAACCC